TCGCTTTCATTCTGATTATGGTCCTCAAATTTTTCGATCTGGTTTGTTCTATGTAGATGCTTGATTATCTCAAAAATCATAAATGGGGATCTCAAATGCAGTGGAACAATATAGTCATATGTTCTAAGCCAAGAAGACATCTCCTGAAGATTCTTCACTTCCAAACATTGCCACAGTACATTTCGCTGAAACCCAAATAAATCCACTTGGCCCATATCAGCGCCAGTTAGGGCTGTAAGCAAAAACTGTCAAACCGGAAAATCGAACCGAAATCGAATTTTAGAGACCATCGGTTTGGTGTTTCGTGGACTCGATCAACGAAATGATTTTGACCCAAACCAAACTAGTCAAAATGGTTTGGTTTAAATTTAAGAATTTTAATTGCGGTTTAAAACCAAACCGAATAAACGAAAAAATATATAAAAATAAAAAAATGAAAAAATGATTTTTTTTTAAAATTCATCCAAATATGTAAAATTCAATAGTTTCATTTGTGGGTATTTTTTTCAATTTCTAATTTTCTAATACAGATATATTATTATTATTATTATTATTATCATCCAATAATCCTAATATATATCTAATAATTTCAAGACTAACATAATCTATCAAAAGTCATTTCCTCTTCAGAATTTAGATGAACTCCAGCCGACATCCAACACAGTCTTAAGCCACCAACACCACACACTTCTTTTTCAGATTTTTCACACCTCTTCAAAGTTGAATAGTAGTCTATTATACCAAATCGGATACAAAGAAATCTTAGACATTCGGTGATAATATTTGCTATGAATAAAGTTTCAAATTAATAATTTTTTGGAACAAATTTAGGGTAAGAATCTGAAATTAAATGCGTTTCATAACATCATACAAACGTAAACTTGTGTAATTGTTATGTTTAGATATTATAAACAATTGTTTTATTATTGTGGTTGATTATTCTCTTTGTCTAATCAGTATCTTTTTTCAGATATGATGATCACGAGATCTTATTGAACATCATTATATTTTTTGGGCCTTATATCTAATTTAGTAGACTTATATTGTAACGTTATTATGTCGTCATTAGACTAAAAAAGGTGAACAAAAATGAAAAAAAACAATGTTTTAATTTATTATAATTTTCTTTGATTTAGTTGGTATTTAAATTTATAGTATATATATTTAGCCTCTATTTTAGCCATATTTTTCATATCATCATAACGAGAAAATTGATCGTTGGAGAGGAGGTTAGGTCCCACACATAAAATAGCAGGTCAACAAAGGCGGTTGGACTTGTGGGATAATGATCCAAATTTTCATTTTTTTGTTTCAAAAATTTGGTTCAAATAGGGGTTTAGTTTGTTTTAGATTTATTGTTAGTAAGATATAAATATATATTGAATTCAATGAATTAATGACATAAAAGTAAACGGAAAAAAACATATGGTGAAACCGGTGGTTTAAAACTGGACCAAATCGTTAGGTTTAGGTTTGAGTTTTTTTCAAACCGTTCAAAATGGTTTGGTTTAAGTTTGAGTTTTTCTCAAACCGATTTAAACGGTTTGATTTGAAAATCAGTCAAAAATCGATAAAATCGGACCGCTTACACCCCTAGCACCAGCCCTCATTTGCCTCAGATTCTGCTCGAGCTCTGCCGATACTTCAAGCTCTTGATACAACTGCTTCGTGCTCGTAACAAACTTCTCCATTTTGTGAACCTGAGATAGAAGAGGATGAGAGAGAGAGAGAGCACTGAGAAAGGGAATAGGGATGGGGATAATATTAGATTACTATTTTACCCTTTTAAAATTGAGTAAAGTGTAGTTAAAAATAATTTTTTAGGTCAACTAATGGAAAATTAGACAGATTCCATCTAAAAGGGCATCCGTCGCATCGTTTCGAAAGATTTGGATGAAGGTTGTAACAAATTAAAGGTTTGAAAAATTGCTAATATTTTAAAGGTTTGGAGCCTCTGCTGCAATTTTCCCTTGATTTTATAGTGAAATGTATTATTTTTCCAGGGCCCGTTTGGGAAGATTTTGAATGTCAAAAATGTCTCTCGGCCCCTCTTTGGATGGGATTAAAATTTAATTTTTCGTAGATTTTGATAAAAACTTTTGAAATATGTGATTGAAAAATTGTGAAACTCTTGAAATATGTGGTTAATGTTGATTATTTGACTTTGATTTAAATTAAAATCTAATTAAAATCAATACCAAACATGGACTAAAAATATTTTAACGGATTGTTGGCTTCAGTTAAATGTAGTTTTTTTGAGAAGTACTTTTACCAAAAGTAAAAATTTTATCAAATGAGCCCTAAATAATGTTTTAATTTTATACGAAAATATTATTGTTATGTTGAACAATTATAATTGAGGAAATTGCAAGAAATGTGACAAATGTTAAACTTTGACACCTCATTTTGAGAAATGATCAAAAACTGAAAGGTTCATATCTATTGTCTTTTTTTTTTTTTTAAATGGATGAAAATATCCTTAAAATTTCTCAATTTTCAACTAGATCTCAAAATCCTTTAATCATCTTCAAATCTAGAATCAATTTGTTTCACTCATTCAACTCAATCACAAATCGATCTTCCATTCGTCAACATCTTACCCACAAAGATTGTCATCGTGTCGCTCTTGCTGCTTAATTTTATGTGAAAAAGACATAAATTAACTTGTCATTTTTTTCTTTTCGTTTTCTTCTTTTAGTTCTTATGAATCTTGTTGTCTGTTTCTCCTCTCTTTTTCATTTATTATGGGGATTCCATTAAAATTTTTGTCCACGTGTACAATTGTTTTGTATAGTTAAGCCCTCGTGTATATAAATTTTCAAAAAATGTAATTTTTTGTGAACCATTTGTTAATTGATTGTTGAACAAATGTTGCGCAATGTTTTAATTCATAAATATGGAGTTGTAAATGGTGTTTTTTTTTTCTTTTCTTTTCTTTTCCTTCTTCTGAATGTCCTTCTTTTCATGCAATTTTGTATTTTGGTACAACAAATGTAAAAAATATATAGTGGTAACACGTAGAGATTAGAATTGATGATTCAATATTGTCATTGATTAGAATATCTTAGCCCCGTTTGGGCCTCATTACATTATATTTCATTTTTCTCTCTCTAATTTTCAACCACACAATCTTTCATAAAATAATATTACATGTAAACAGAAAAATTTTCATTCTTTTTCAACCACTAATTTTTTTAAAAAAAATATTATTTCATCTATTTTCATTTCAAAAAATGAGGGCCAAATAAGGGCTTAAAGAAAATTTCAAATTGAGTTTTATCTCTTATGTATAGTTTGATGAGGGGAATGACAAATTTTCATTGATAAAATATGTAATATTATAGACATATGTCAAGTTATCAGGTAAAATCTTGATTTAGCTATGGAAATCTAGAGTTTTTATATGTAAAAATCGAGTATGTTGAACAAATATCAAACTTGCGATAAAATACTCAGTGTCACGTTTATCGTTGAGCCTTGGAATCATTTTATTTGCTTCATGAAACTTTAAAGAATCTTTCCTCATGTACAGAATATGGCTAAATAATTGATAAAGTGTGGACCCCACCTAAATAAAAAAATGGCCAAAATTTAACCCCTCGTTGTGAGGTGTCATTAGGGGTTCAGAACCTCTACATGCACATCTAGCAATTTTGAACTTTAAAACTATTTCCACCATTCCAAAAGGTGCGCATTGACTACTCCTAGGTGTCGATAATGCACGATACGTGGCGAAAACGCCAAGTCAAGTGACTTAGCACCTTATTTAACGGTCAACGATAATCGTTAATCACTAATGTGCGCTTAGGCGCGATTATGAGAACTTAGGCGTGAAAAATTATTATTATTATTATTATTATTATTATTATTATGACAATTTTTCTAAGTTAAAACTTAAATGTTGATTTATTCACTTCGTCAGTTCTAAATTTAAAATAGCCGTTTGAAGCCTTGAACAAAGGAAATCTATTTTTTGTTGAAAACTTTGGAAAAATGTATAAATTTCCTATAAATTTGTTCTAAATGTTTGACAGGTATTATTTTTAATTATTAAACAATTTTTCGGTTGATTAAAAATTAAAATGATATTAAAATAAGAAAACGTATTTTTACGCCTATACCTCGCATAACCTATAGTTTGACCTCCATGCATTGTCACGCATTATGCTTTTTAGAACACTGTTTATTTCAATAGGGATGTAATGGGGCAATGCAAGGTTAGCCAACCGTCCCTACCTTGTTTCGGATTTTTAAGAGGTCGAACATGGTTGACGTAGGGATTCAAAATATTCCAATCTCCTGTCTTGTTTACTTTTTCTTTCTCTTTTTTAAATAAGACTTAAATTTAAGATAAAAATAAAGGTCAAGACGGGGCCATGTTTTTCTTCCTTGTATCGTGCTATGTCGAGACGGAATATTTTATCATCCATACATTTCAATCATACTTTATGTTACTCATCTATCGAACGCTCAAAAAAAAATTATATGTGACATTGACATTTGATTCAACATATAACTCATCTAATTTTTGTGGTGTTAATATAATTATTAAAAAAAAAAACACGAAAATTTGTTCATAAAATTATGCCAAATCTATACCAAACGGCATCATAAGAGTACAGCTAGGATGCTAATGAATAGCGCAAGGCCAAAATAGTTGGACAAACTATACTGTAGCATATCGATGCCAACGACGCCGTTTTAGCTATAATCGGTCCAGCTAAGACTTGGTTGGCACCATCTATTACCATTGGCAGCATGCTCCCAATGGGGCCCTTGCCCCACACTCGGTCCTGCATGTAGACCACGGATTGGCAGCTCTTCAGTGATACCTAGCGCCACCTCAGCCGCAGCAGTACTCAGTCCTCCGCCATGGTAAAATTAATTATCTTTTACCTCCGTTAAATTCTCACGCGCCACCGTCCAGATTTATCCCCTTTCACCACTGCCAATCATAACACGAGTGTGCTTTTCACATTTCGTTTTCTTGACAAAAATGATAAAATCTACTGTTGTTAAGAAAGTAGCGTGCAACGCTGTCTACGGCACAATTATTTTCATTATTATTAAGTTCTGCGTATTTATGTAAAAAAGTAAACGAAAAATGAAAAAGGTAGAAGATTTTGGGTTTTCCTTTCAGCAAATTTGACAGACCTTTCGATAGTTATTTTTTTATTTACACAAACCCTTTTGGAAGACTCTATCTCTTCTTGCTCTATTTCATTTTTTCTTTTCCGATTCTACTGAGCTCTGAAAGGCTGTAACCGTTTGACTGATAAGTTATGTCTGGCCTTTACAATCCCAACTTCTCTCCTGCAAGAGCTGCGTCTCCACAGATTAGAAACACACCAGATATAGACAGGTATGTTTTTACTATTTTCTGAATATTTAGATTCTTAATTCAATTAGTTACTTTGAATTGATTTTGATGATTTGATCGATATTCCCATGGGTTTTATTTTTGTTGTTTCTTTTTCAAACATTAGTAGTCACTACTTGCAAGAGCTGTTGGCGGAGCATCAAAAGCTTGGGCCTTTCATGCAGGTTCTTCCCATCTGCAGCAGACTCTTGAATCAAGGTGAATTTTGATTACTGATACTTCCAGTATGTGTTAGATCTAGGATTGCTGGGTTTTTGAGTGTTTTTACTTGTATTTTTTGCGGGATTTGGCAGTAACTATTTGCTTCTTGATGTACTAATTCGATTAGATATAACTATGTGCCTGAAAAACGGACCTTCTGTCCCGTACCTGCTAGGTTTCTAGCTGCTGTATGATTAATTTTAGGGGTATGAGAGAAGAACACGTGCTGTAAAGATGCCCAGTCGTCCATGTGAAATGTTCATCTTCATTGGAGCTTTTTGGTAGTGCTCTGCCCTGGAAATGAAGTAAAATGATTGTGTATAAGTTGCATTTGGAGAATTTGAATATAATCCTGTGCCAGAGTGGAGTCAGGGGACCCAAATGCTCAAGATTAACCAATGCACTTCAAATATTTTGATATGGTGGTGTGCTGTGAATCTAGCCACAAATGTGATCTTGGGACATATATGTGAATAGATAATGTTGCCAAAGTTTGTGAGCAATTCCTGATAGCCTATAACAAGTGGGTCAGAAATGTATTTGAAGGTTTAGAGCAGACTCCAATTATATGTAAAAAAAATTTCATGCATTTTGAAGCAAAGACGCTGCTAAATATTTTCCAGTTCAAGTTATAAATAAAAGTTATGTATTGACTTAACTACAGATATTTGCTTATTTATAGGGAAGATGTGTCAAAGTACTTGTTGAGTAGGGAACTGCTAGAAAAGAAAATCTATATGATTGGCATTGATGTCCCAAAATTGATGCCCAGACTATACATAAAACTTCTCATTTCATGAGGAGCTCCAGCAGAGCAGTTCGAGTTCGAGGAATTAACCATGACCAAGGAATCTCCATTACTTGCTTATCTTGGCATTTTTTATTTTTTATATTTAGCCCTTTTTTGAGCCCCATTTTAAGGGGAAAAATGAATTTTTGAAAAGTGTATTGATGGGAAATGTGTGGTTAAAAAATAATGAAAAGTTTTGGATTTGCGTGTAATATTATTTTATTGAGGAATGTGTAGTTACAACGATGTCAAAACACGGTACAAGAATTCATTTTTTCCAAAGAATGTGGATCAAACAAAGGCTTAGCATCATGTGGTACATTTCCTGGGGAACATTTTGGCATTGTTCTTCAGACACTAATTAATATTTTTTAATGGTGATAATAGCATTTATGGATTTTCTGTTCATGTGGAGTGATTTATACATGTGGTATTCAAATTGGAGTTAGAAAATTCCTTGTTTAGGTATCTCTTTGTAATGCAGTTTTTCTCTTGTTAAGTTACCTTGCGCTATAAGATTTCTACAGATTTGTCTTGTTGAACTTGAAGTATAATTCTCACAATTTCACTGCCGGTGCATGCTTTCAGAGATCATACGAGTTTCTGCAATGATGCCAAACCAAGGTTTCAATGAACTTGATGGATCAAGACATAGAAGTCCCAGTCCTATGTCTTCTTCGAATCTTTTATCAAATGTAGCTGGTTGGAATGGACTTCCTCAAGAGGTAGTTGGTTTTCTAGTCCAATTACTTTCTCGCGTCTCTTACAATCCATATTCAGTTGATGCAATCTCATTATGCCAAAAAAGAAACTGCTATTGCGTGATCTACATTTGGTATCTCTGTAGGCTGCTTAGAGTATGGGATTGGGGAGGGGGAGGTGTCCGTCCTTAACGATTCACCGTGTTATATTTTTCTATTGAACTGATGCTTGAGGTTTAAAAGCTCTAAATGTCAAATGGGATACATGATGATTCAATTGCACTTGCTCTGTGAAAGCTGTTGAACTTGACTGGGGACTTATCTTTTCTTCCCCTCTCAATAACATGATAGCAAAAAAGAAGCTGCATTACTTTGACTTTCTGTTTTTTCTTTAGGATGCTTGCAGTGTTTGAAAGTGAGTTTCATGTATACCAATGTGGATTTGCTCTATGGACAATCCTATTGCACCTAAGTGTTCAATGTAAAAAAAAGCATTCTAAATTATGAATAATACATAAATCCTCTCTTTTTATTATCTAATGTATTACTAAATGAAAATGGCTGATGTTTCCATTCAATTCAGAACCTCCATAATGGCGTAAACCCTTCGTGAATGAGACATGAATCTTTTGATTGTCAAATCTTTTTCTAATGCATGTGTGTATGTGTGCGCGCGCACACACAAAACCAAAATACTAGATGGACTCTTAGTAAACAAGCATTATGTGATTGTCAATAAAGATGTTTCTTTTATTTCACTTTACTGCAAAGGAGGGAAAATGCCTATTTTTAAGATTAATAGTTTAGATTATTTAACTGAGATTATTATTTTACATAAATATATTCATTTGAGCACCATCTCTATATAAACATTGTGGTAGACGAGTACCAGGCTGTCTCTAGACTTCAAGAAATTTTATTTAATCATCTTAATTCCCTGCATTTATTGGTTGCTAAAGAATCTGAGTAGATTTGCCAACAAATGAGAACTGATGTGGCTCGTGCATCTAATCATTAGTTCTTCAAAATATATTCCTGGAATTGAGCAATTTAGCCCCCGTTTCCCATTATTTCCCCATTAAAATGAAAAATATAACCGTTATCCATCACATTAAACAACCAAATTTGAATTTCTATCTCTTGCGTGGGTCCAATGACGGCTATATTTTTCGTTCTCATTTTTACAAAAATGGGAAACAAATGCCCCATTAGTTTCCTGGTAATTACAGAAAAGGTACTGCTGTTGAATCCAGTTTCTTGAAATAAACAACTGCTATGCAAATAGAATATCTCATGTTTTTCCCTCAGCATTCGGCTTCCCTGCAATACCATGTACATCTTGACTCAAAACAGTCCCTTGACGAACTCCAGTTGCAATTGACGCAAACTTTATGACAAAATCAGCAGCGATGGTGCTAGCGGAAGAACTAGAAAAATTTGTGTTAAGTTCTGCCACTGAAAAATTGATATGGTTTTGGTGCAATCAACCAATTTATCATGACTTACTATTTCAGTGATTGGATTCATCCTGTTGAATTAACCAAGTACTTTGAATTGTTCAGCATATTATTGACAACATTGAAATATTTATAGTACCTATTCCAATTTAGAGACTCAATTATGTGATTATATTTGTTTAAAGTTTAAAAATTCTGTCTCCTGCCAAACTAAACATGTGTTCATAGAAATGAATAGAAACTTCAAGTTTGCAGTCGGAGTGGCTTGCTGAATTCTCAAGTGCACTAAGCAACCTAAAGATGGTGAAGCAACACCATTGTAAAGGAGCTGAAGTTTAATTAAAATATATATCATTTTCCTCTTGTTGTATTCGGAATTTAATGAGTTATAATCTTATTCTTATCAGGACATATCTACTGTATCTTGCAAATTATGAACCTCTGGTGTTTGTTTCTTGTTTGTCACCTGGAATGTTGTGGGACTCTAACTGACCTCGTGCTTGTTCATATGCATCTAAAGTTTCATTAATCAATTGTGGAGTTGTTTTTTGGCCTTTATGGACATAAGTAAAACATTTTCTTCAAATCTGTCTATTTTACTTTACTGTTGGAAAGCAACATAATCAATATTCTCTTTTTTGCTGAATAGATTGAGGAATTCTTGTATAAAATTTGAATTTCTTGATTCTTGTTTGAACAAAGTTTCTGTTCTTTTGATAAGAAAGGCTGTTTCATATGTTTTGAGCTGGAATATCTTGTAATGTTCAATTATTTTCTTCAGAAGTTAAAGCATTTAGTTTATTCTATATGTTCCGTAACTGCTGAGCCTCCATTGATCCTTCTCTTTTTTCATCCTCAATAGATAGTTCTCTTTTTTCATCTTCGAAATTTAAAGTTAATTCCTGTGATTCTTCATTGCAAGGCAGAGACTGAGTGGGCCTCCTGGAATGACAATGGACTGGCAAGGGGCACCAGCAAGTCCTAGTTCATTCACTGTGAAAAAGATTTTGCGCCTAGATATTCCTGTAGATAACTTTCCAAATGTAAGAATTTTTAGTAGTCTGGTTTATCCTACTGAGTTCCATGAATTCATCATAGTTCACTTTCAATCTTTAGGATTAGAATCTTCCTTTCTTTACTTCATTACAATTTCTGGAATTGGCAGTTCAATTTTGTTGGGCGACTGTTGGGCCCTAGAGGAAATTCACTGAAAAGAGTCGAAGTCACAACAGGATGCCGTGTATATATTAGAGGAAAAGGTTCAATAAAGGACCCAGACAAGGTACCTTTTTCTAGTATAATTCATTTTTTGTTGTCATTAATGCTGCAAGTTCATTGTAAAACAGCTATACAGTTGATCGATAACAAAGAACATTCATGTATATTGCCAATTAGTATATTTCTGCCAGCAAGGTTAAGTTTTAATTTGATTAATTCGTGCCAATTCGAAGGAAGAGAAGCACCGGGGACGACCAGGCTATGAGCACCTGAACGAACCACTTCACATCTTGATTGAGGCTGATTTACCTGCCAATATTGTTGACATCAGACTGAGGCAAGCCCAGGAGATTATAGAAGAACTTCTCAAGCCTGTGGTATTCATCTCGATCCAATTCTTTTTGAAGAATCAATAGACACTTCAACATTTTTATGATTCTTTCTTCTGATCCTGCTCTATAAATTTCAATTTTCAAAGAAGGAAATATGTTGGAAATGAAAGTTTGAATGTACCCGTAAACTATGCTGGCTGATATTAGTCCGCTCTCTTCAGACATTAATTCATTAAACTACCTTTGATCTTAACTGTATATATGTTGACCAATTCATGCTTGTTAAATTAGAAATTGGTTTGTTGACTTTTTGCGTTCTTATTTTCACCTTTTGCAGGATGAGACGCAGGATTTTATAAAGAGGCAGCAATTACGTGAACTGGCCATGCTAAATTCAAGTTTCAGAGAAGACAGCCCTGGACCAAGTGGCAGCCCCTCAGTTTTCACTACTAGTGGAATGAAACGTGCAAAAACAAATTAAA